CCAAATGCAAACTTTCTTACCTTGAAAAAGTTCCCACATTGACAGAGCTAGCAAATCATTACAGGCCATGCTGGTGAGAAGGTGAGCGTGGCCACACACATCCTCACAGACATTGTCTCCTCTGGACCTCTGTCCACACCATCCTTCAGCCGAGGACTAGCCACAGACCGAGGGGCAAATTGACACAGCATTGCCCAGTTCAGATAGATGCATGCAGGTCCAGCCCACATATAACAGGGAGGAGAGCCCAACTACATTACACAGCCTTTCAAATACAGGACTCACATGCAAATACTCAAGCACTAAAGGTTTAATTGTGAATGTGTACATCCCATTTACGCTGCTAGCCTTGTCGTCTAACAGCAAACAATATGGATAGATCCTTATTTAAACTGGCCACCATATACATCTCTTGACAAGCTACTTATGAACAGAGAATTAAGAAATGAGCAGAACATGAAGTTTCACATCAATGAATGAGCGTGAGAGTTTCGTGTTTTTCTCCTTTGAAACGTGGGTTATGAGGCGTATGCAATGGGTTGCCACAATGTATGTTTCTTTGCTGAAATGTATGAGCGTGTACTATGACTGTAGGGATGTGATATGTACAGACGAGAGTCAACTGTCAGTGACATCACAATGACTGGTGTGAGTAATGTCAACAGCTTTACTGTATAGTGATGACTTTTCTCATGTAACATTGATATAAAGCATGGGAAATACTTGGTCATTTTTTAACATAAATGAATACAAAGCAAAAACTTTGTACAATACCAATATTCCCCATTAAAAATAATATACACCCTCATGCTAAAATATCCTGTGTGGGAAACCTTTTTATCCACAGTACGTCCAAAAACATGAACAGTGATTTACAGAGAAAGCAGAAATTATGAATAAACTATTTATTTATTTGTTGTTGGGACTTGTGTTTCTATCACTTCAGTTTGTGATAAACACGTACATGTATTAACAGTTTTGCCCGAGTTGATTGTTAACAGATTGTTTCACACAGTTACGTGAGACATGTTTCCTAATTGTCCCTGTACCAGCAGCTCATCGCCACCCTAACACACAAAGAAAACACTATAATCTCCCTTAAAGTGAGGACCTGGGTAACAAAACCGTGAAAGGTGAGAACAGTTCAGTGATTTCCTGTAATGTTCCCCTGAGGAGGACTTTCAACAGTTTCAACTTATCAGATCCCTTGCTATCTGGTCTCCTCCCTACCCCCTGGGGCTGAGTCACGGTGGTATATTGTGATGCCCTGGGGGTACAGATAGGAGCCATATTCCACCTGATACAGGCTACATGAGGGTAGGTACTTACACCAAAATCTTAGAAAGGAAAATTCTATTATATAATGAAGGAGGAATTTCAGCGTTGAAAAGCTGTCCATTTCTGCTACTTTGATAATAATAGTTTGCTGGCTACAATTCTTTAAGAGTGGAAATAAATCAATTTTGTAGTCAAGGAAAAATATTTCATTTTTGTAAAACAGGTTTTTGTGATGTTCATATGCATCTCAACTCCCATAAACAAATAATAGAAATTGGATTACTTGATTTCTTATTCAATAAATAAGTCCATAAAACTTTTTTCAACATAAGCAGCAACCCAGTATTGCAGTGTGTTTAATAACAAACAATTTTCATATGAAACAAATCATAACAAACCCTGTACCAGTATTGCTGTGTGTATGATAACAAACAATAAAATGTATTTTTAAGAGTCCTGATAACAAACAATAAACCATGTACCCAGTATTGCTGTTTATGATAACAAACAATAAAAACAATTTTAACAAACAATAAACCATGTACCCAGTATTGCTGTGTGTATGTTGAGATTTGAAACAAATAAACCATGTACCCAGTATAACAAACAATTAACAAACACATAAACCATGTACCAGTAAATGAATGATAACAACAAAAACTACCCATGATAACAAACAATAAACCATGTACCCAGTATTGCTGTGTGTATGATAACAAACAATAAACCATGTACCCAGTATTGCTGTGTGTATGATAACAAACAATAAACCATTTACCCAGTATTGCTGTGTGTATGATAACAAACAATAAACCATGTACCCAGTATTGCTGTGTGCAACATTACAGGTGGCACTGTTGGGTTAGGTAGCCCAGCTCCTTGCTGTATCATGGAATAGGTTGTTCCTTGTGTAGTGGCATTGTAAGGAGATAAAGCAAGAGACCATGTACAACACTACACAGCTGATGATTGGTGTACCTTGATGCCAAGTCCAGGGTAACATTATAGGTATTGCAAGGTAACACCTGTTATGAAGTAAGTATGTTAGGTAACACATCTGTCACATGATCCTTCATAAACATAAATATACTTCCATATTTCCCACATGGAGACAAAACCCAACTATTTAGTCACATAGAGAAACTACACCTGGCTCTGGGCAAACTGAATACATTTGAATAATTACTTCTTTACATTTCCTCCCCAACATGACACCTATCCCACACTGACACATCCTTCATACATTGTGACTGTATATACCGGTAGATATACTGGTAGGTTGACACAGAATATTTAACTGCTTCTGAAGCTCAGACAACACATTCCTGTCCAGGTGAAATAATGGCGTCGGGTGGTGCTGTGGTTATCAGCCATTTACTATCAATTATTAAATTTGATGGCCATCTCACACTTCAGGCTCTCTCAATAACCAACATTGTCTTACATGGCTCAGACTGGCGATTTGCTTGGTCTGGCATGATTTGGGCAAGGGATTCTACAGTACTGATTCATGGAATCCTTTGGTGCAATAACAGTGTTGTACCATTGGAAACAATCTTGCATTACATCACTGATTAAATACTCCTTGATCAAGATAGCATGGGTTCAAACAGTCAACAGTTTTAATTTCTGCTTTTTGTGGAAAGGTCATCTGACAGGTATAAACTGATTCCTTAATTTCGATAGAATTGTGACCCAATCATTTTGAAACAGCATGTTAATGATTAGAGAAGGAAAATACATGTTATTAATCAGAATGAAAGTGACATGCAAGGAGTCCATGATTGTCTCAATCAAACATAGACATGCTGGTTTAAATGTTGAAACTGACATGAAATTGATCAGCTAACCAGTACAAACGACAAACTTTTTCAAATTTGTTTTTGTGTCAAGCCAAATGTAAATGTACCTTCTATCCAGAATTTCCGATAATGAAAGAAGTGTATAATTTGGATCCAGGCCTGCACTTCCCCCCTGAGTCTGTGGGTGACGACTGGAACGACTATTGCTGGGCTGACAAACATTGACAGGGAAGAGAGGGATCTGGCCTTGGCACAAACTTGAGACAAGAAGTGTTTTTACAACAAGGAAACCACAAAAAGCAGCGGCTCACATTTTTTATTGGAGATCTCTAGAGCTAAGGTGGGGCAGTAGGAGCTCTAACACAACCAGACATCAGGCTGCATAGCAGGAGCTTCTTCACACCGATCAATACAAACAGTTTCAAGTTCCAACTATCATTTAAGTTGAATTTAATCAAAGTAGTCTGATAGCAAAGTTATTTCAGCATTATCATCAAACATCTCAATGATTAATATGATTCATACAAAGAAATTATCTCAAAAGAAAAATGCATTACCATTTCCATATCAAAATTCATCAATAATGAAGCTGGACTCACGTAGAATCATTCCTACAAACAATTAATAGGCTGATAAGGAGCGATGTGATATGGCAGAGAATAAATGAAGCATTTGGTTGAAGAATATGTTATGATATTGAATCCTTTTCATCAAGAAAATCTTGAAGTGGATTCAAATGTGATAAGGATGCTATCTGATGATACAAGCATGGCCTAGCCTCCTTACCTTCCTCCCAGCCACTATCTTCACTGTTTGCAGCTTTCTCAAATAAACACTACACCACATGGAAATAGGTGTCGTCAACTTCATCAAAACTTGATCTAAATAACTTGTCTTCCAAGGTGAATCTCAGCTCTAACCAATGACATGCTGTTGTTCCCCATCCCGGATCGCGATGAAGGTTTATGCGACATGGAAAGGGAGGTATTTCAGCACTATTTAAACATACGACTGGGCTACCCTGATACATGACCATGTTGATATCTGGATGGGGGGAAACATACATATGTACATTTCAACATCTCTCATTAAACACAGATAACGTACCAAGAATTATCTGCTTTACTTCAAGACAATTTATTTGATGGTGAAATTTATATTGTCTTATACATGTAATATATTTTGGAGAAATATATATGCTTGCAAACAGACATATTAATACTGAACATTTATTTTAATTAAATTATGGAAATGTCTGATCATGATGTGATCATTGTAAAAAATTTGTAAATATTTAGACTGAACACAGTTCTTAGAATATGAAATGCTACAAATGTAGAGTGAAAGTTGTAGATTACCGGTAGATGTGTGTGGTATTTCCGGCTAGGACAGGGACAATGATTTGTTGGTGGCACCTGACATTAATTGCTTCACTGTATCTAAAAAAAGAAGTTTATTTCATGACCCCTAGGTCAGTGAGGCAAACCCCACTTCCACCCTATAGCAGGAACTGTGGCTGTTATACTGAAATTATGTCAAGTATTGCTTTTGTGGATACAGTGGAAACAATGGGGGGTATGTGTGTGGCATAAAGATACATAATCTGGTATACAGAAGATGTACTCAGAGATTACTTAATATACATCCCCTATCTCTGGACCACCCTACCCTACACCCTCCCCACCCATGAGCTGAAACTGTTACACAGCTGTTCCATATTGGGAGAGGAAGGGTTTCTATTGTAGGTGAACATCTACTCAAGGTGAACATCCCATGTTAGTACACTGTTCTTTCTACACAGCTGAAGAAAACTTTTTAACAAATACATTCCCACTCTATATGTTTCTTGTCTGTTAGTGACACTGAGAGAGTTACACAGGCTCAATGACCTTTTATCTGCTAATATTTTCAAACCAACAGATGGCAATTTATATACGCTTGCATATTCATGCAACCCCACTGCTGAAACCCCACCACCAGCAACCTTCATCCAGCCCACTGCTGACACCCCACCACCAACAACCTTCATCCACCCCACTGCTGACACCCCACCACCAACAACCTTCATCCAGCCCACTGCTGACACCCCACCACCAACAACCTTCATCCACCTCACTGCTGACACCCCACCACCAGCAACCTTCATCCACCCCACTGCTGACACCCCACCACCAACAACCTTCATCCACCCCACTGCTGACACCCCACCACCAGCAACCTTCATCCACCCCACTGCTGACACCCCACCACCAACAACCTTTATCCACCCCACTGCTGACACCCCACCTACCAACAACCTTCATCCAGCCCACTGCTGACACCCCACCACCAGCAACCTTCATCAACCCCACTGCTGACACCCCACCACCAGCAACCTTTATCCAGCCCACTGCTGACACCCCACCACCAACAACCTTTATCCACCCCACTGCTGACACCCCACCACCACAACAACCTGACACCCTTGTTCACCCCATCCAGCCCACTGCTGACACCCCACCACCAACAACCTTCATCCACCCCACTGCTGACACCCCACCACCAACAACCTTCATCCAGCCCACTGCTGACACCCCACCACCAACAACCTTCATCCACCCCACTGCTGACACCCCACCACCAGCAACCTACTAACAACCTTCATCCACCCCACTGCTGACACCCCACCACCAACAACCTTCATCCACCCCACTGCTGACACCCCACCACCAGCAACCTTTCATCCACCCCACTGCTGACACCCCACCACCAACAACCTTCTTTTATCCACCCCACTGCTGACACCCCACCTACCAACAACCTTCATCCAGCCCACTGCTGACACCCCCACCACCAACAACCTTTCATCCACCCCACTGCTGACACCCCACCTACCACCAACAACCTTTATCCACCCCACTGCTGACACCCCACCACCAACAACCTTTATCCACCCCACTGCTGACACCCCACCACCAACAACATCCACCCCACTGCTGACACCCCACCACCACCAACCTTTATCCAGCCCACTGCTGACACCCCACCTACCAACAACCTTCATCCACCCCACTGCTGACACCCCACCTACCAACAACATTCATCCACCCCACTGCTGACACCCCACCTACCAACAACATTCATCCACCCTCTGACCCTTCACTAAAGAAACTCCACACCTGTGCATGTTACTGTGGTTCCTGGTAATATATACCCGGACAATAAAATATGCATACACTATTTCCGGGCTACACACAATGTACTGTTCTCTACACCTAGGGAGAGACTAGTTTAAACAGCATTGTGGTATATATCCTGTCATTTTCACGCATCTTTCCACCCATGTCTCGCTGCATCTCTAGGAATCCCTGCCGCAGAACATGTATAAATAATGGTAAACAAATACCAAACCAAGCATCCGGGCACCGAGATCTTTGACAAGATGTCTGATGCTGAACAATCTCCACAGCAGTAGGATCGCTCAATTTCAAATACCAATTATTAACATTTTCATATTTTTTCAAAAGGATCTTAACTACCTTAGAAAATAACAAAGACATTTATTTGTAACAAATTTTGCAAGGAAGAGAAAATCTCAGATGGACCATGAAATGAACCTCACAAAATATGTAAAAACCACAACTAATGAACAGTACAATCTATGAGTCGTGCAAGATGTGGAGATACAGTGTGAGTTTTGACAGTGTGCCATCCACATCCTTTGTTACAGTTGTCAAGATGGAACAAGTACCATGCAAGAATACCCCATACACAGCGTAGCTGAATAATTAATGGCTGCTGAATCATTTGCATATTGGTGTTATGAATATTTGATGCGTGGCAGTGTGTAAACTGTTCCCATCTCCTGTTTCAGTAAGTGACAAGCGGGCAAGACAGATTGCAATTAACCTGAGTCCACAGTGTACCTGTACAACCTTATAGTAGACAGTACTTGATGGGAACAAGTGTCAACATTCATCTAATCCTGATGCTCCATTATCAAATTTCCTTCCATGGAAATATATCTCATATCAACCATATGTTAACAGGTACACTGAAGAAATATTGACATCTGAAGGAATTTGAATACATAATTAGATTCTTTGGAATGAAATTAAAAGTTAATCGAATAGAGTATGATAGCAAAGATAGTGAAAATAGATATTAATATAATATAAGCTGATTTCTACAGCACGTATCTCTTCATGAATACAATTGTAAAAAGGTTCCATATGAACAGCAGAGATAAAAAAAATCTCACTTTTCACATATATGAATTATAAAAATTATTAAAAAATCAATTTTTCTAACTTTGCCAAAAAATAATCATCCACAATTTATTTATTATTGATGGATTTCAGACAGTTTAGTTCATTACAAACTATTTTTCAAATCTAAAACATTTTTGTCAAATTGTGGTCTTCATTTTATTTTTACATGGATCATCGATCAGGGTCTAGATGAACGATGAGTCCATCATCACAAGATAAGTATTAGATATACATGCAGATATATACATAGTGGCGTTGACAGATGCTGTCAGTTGAAGCCGACAGAGTTGTAAATGTCTTACTTGGCTGACAACTAGCTCTCATCAATCAACATTACAACATCAAGGAAATCATCATTTGCCAAAAATATTTTTTCATAAAATTTTGCTAAAAATAACACATATGGATATGAAATATATTTCAAATGGCAATATATGGCCCTATTTAAATAAATCTTCTACATAGCTAGTTTATCACATTATACGTGTCTTATACAGTATGCTTCATAAGACATTGTATTAGCAATAAACACAATACATATAATAACATACAAGAAAATGTGTTCAGAATAATTAGCTCATTGAATGATACCAGAAAATCTGTTCATTTTAAATGCAGAAAAAAGTAAAATTACCCCAGTCAAACCATGACTCAGATTTAGAAAATAACATACTTTTCTGCCGCCCCTTAAAATGAAGCCTTTTTAAAATGTGTCTACAGCCCTCCTGTCACCATCCTCGATGGAGGACGTCCCAGTGTAATTAATACATGGATTAAAATAACCTTACCATTTCCATGCGTGCTGTTCCGGAATCTGTCACTTAACCAGAGACAAACATGCAATCAGCAACAGTTGTCAGATATTCACGCCAGGAAATGAATGTCCGAGAGTAATGTACATCGCCACATACTACAACAACTCCATGATGTGTGTCCTCACCTGTGTTGTTGCTAAAGACGTCGCCGCATCTCTGCATCACCTGCTGTCATGTGCGAACGCAGCCCACGCCTCGCTGATAGCTACTCTGTAACAGACGAGCGAAACCTTTCAGTGAGCGAACACTACTTCCTGGGCTGGACCCACTGTAGAGCCGACTCCCTTGTCTTGTAGCCAGCCAAAGACAAGAGTGTGTAATGTTGCAATACATACACCCTCACTATAACAACAAAGCTGAAATTAACATTATATACCCAAATTTTGAAACACACATTGAGATATATATTGCAATCCGTTGATTTTGTAAATTGATACTGACACAAATTGACATATTTACGATAAAGACTGATATGTACATATCCTTATAGCGAGGGTCCTTGAAATTGATTTCCACTTGTAAACCCAGGAAGTAGGGGCTGTATTAAACTTGTAGCTAGGGTATTTTACAGTACATTTGTGAAATACTGTTTGTTTCGCCTGCTCAGACCCGACTGAAACGTGAAACCTTAACGAGATTACTAGCTGCAAGTAAATGTCCATCCACCACCGCAGTACTGTTGGAATTTGTCACACAAAAAACTGATATTGTCTTGTAACCAACGGAAACATTTGTCCCATATTCACAGGAAGAAACTACAAGAGTATGCTAACCAGTTTGACTTTGTCGTTGCCGGATGAAATAAACATCAGATAGACAGCTGATTACTGAATCAATGCACTTCCATAATGTCCTCAAACACTAATTGTCATACACAACCAGGAACCCTTGCCACGGAACTTTGATATTTTAACCAACAACATCTCTTTCAGCATTCAGTGTGTATTTTAAGAATAAGTAGGATGACAAAGGATCAAGGACAAGACTCCATCAGATTCTGAACCAAAGATTCCTGGCTTGGTTCAGATCAAACGCTTTAGTCTTCATTCACATCAATTGGAAACTTGTTGCAACATGAGAAACAATAAAGAATAGGTAAACATGCCATATATGTATAAATAAACATGCCATATATGTACGGTAAACATAGTATAAAAATATAGGTAAACATACCATATAGGTAAAGAGAAAACTATCATATTAAAGTATAAAAATAGACAGAATATAGTGAGTGAGTATGGTTTCCGCATTCACCAATATTCCAGCAATATCACAGTTTTGGACACCAGAAATGGGCTTCACACATTGTACCCATGTGGGGAATCAAAACCCAGGCCTTCCGTGTGACGAGTGGACGCTTTAACCACTAGGCTACCCAACTACCCCTCACAGAATAAAAGTATAGACAAACATACCATATAAGCATGGATGAAATTACCGTAGAAGTTGGGCCTACAGAAGAATATTCCTGAAACTGATGTCTTACCTGAGATGCTCCAGCAGGTGACACGTACAAACATAACATCTGTTGCAGGTGACATGTACATTAGCAGTAATGGAGGCACCTAGATAAACCCAATCACATCTACCTCTGATTGGTTCCTCCATCAACCAACTGAACATATAATTAATCTCCCAGTTAACAATCAGAATAAAGTAACTAGGTTCAATCTACTTAACACCGACTTTCTTCTCTTCGGAAGAAATTACTTCACAAACAAACTTTCTACAACAGGGTTGTGGCGCTAACACTCACTGATCAAGTCAAAGACAGCTGTTGGTTTAATTCCAGCATGAAAGAGTAAAACAATGGCCCCTCCGATGTTGTACTTTCACAGATATATTGTTTTCCAATCAAAGCCTACTGTCTCCCCATCTGCCTGTTTAACAGCTTAACACTCTGTGTTCAACTTGACAAAAACACACCGTGCAGTAAACAAACTACACACAGTCTTCAAAGGAAGTACAGAGGTTTCCATAAACTGAAACTGGATTAGTGAAAAGTTTAGTTTTAAGTGTTGAAGGGGAATTGTAATCAAACCTTAAGTCTAGCCTAGTGCTAATTAGGCCACAGAGTGGTCAGATAGCAGAACAATGGTCTTTAAATCCTTTGTGGCCCAGGGTCTGTTAAACAATGACCTATCACAACACACTTAGTCTTAATGAGTTTTAAAGCAAATGTGGCAATTATTCATGTGAGACATTCAAGGAGAGATAAATATTTGACATTTCCCAAGTCCACTCCACTGTAATCATTGTTTTCTCTGAAGCACTTCAAGTAAATAGTCCACTTTCTTTGATGTGAAAAATGGAAGTGGGAAGTAGTTTTGTAAATTTTCAAAATAAACTCTCTAAAAGTATAGTTAAATACTAATCAGTGATATCTTTTATGCATAAAAAAATCAATGGTAAGACTTCAACCCGCATCCCCCCTAAATTTTAACGATGAGGAAAAAGATTGCATTTATTTAATTATTCAGGTAATATGATTTGACTATTAAGGGATACAGACGGTCTTTCCAAATCACTAAAAAACTGGTTAGTTTCTTTTGAAACTTAATAAAAACTAAACATTAATAATGAACTAATAGTGAAATGTTCCACAAGTAAAGTTTACTGATATTAAGAATGGTAAAGAATGGTATTGTCAAAGACAACATCAATGCCCAATATCAGTCTAACATATTGCGTCACTGACCCAAAACATCACTAATTGCTTCACATTCCATTATAATTGATCCAGGTCCTTAAAACCTTTACAACACAGCCTTTTGGATGATAATAAACTTAAAAGTCAGTCAAATGGAAATCCTACCTCATACGCCACCAGGTGCTCAACCATGGAGAGTTTGAAAATGTTGCTCACCCTTAGCAATATGTTCCAACTGGCGTGTTTGTATTCAAATTGTGGCAGTCTTTGTTTAAACAGTTGTTACAACTGTCAGGAGTGTGTAGAGACCAGTCCTCATTAACTTGACATCATTAAATACAGTCTTTCTGGGTATTTTACAATTGACATATTCTAATCTTTAAAATAACTAATCTTTTGACACTAAAAGGAATTTTGAGAAATAATTTTCTAATACATGAAGAATGTTGATAACCATCAATGCCCATCAAAGAAGTTTGTAATACATGCTGACGATTCCTTTGTTTGTAGTCTGGAACGTCGGGACATGAGAGGGAAAAGATTGTACTATTGGTGGAAGTTGAAACAACACTTCCATATCATGGTTTATTAATTTATCATCAAATGTTAATATTTGGTACATTGCTTTATTGAAACTTAAAGGAAAATATTAACTGAGTTTAGGCTACTTTGTGTTATGTTTCATGACTTTCATTGGTTCATAAGGAACTGCAGCAAGGAATATATTCTCCAACTCAGAAATCTACACACAATCTGCTTTCTTCATAGTGGGGGGAAATAACCCTCCATGTATGGTGGCTTGTTTCAAAGGGACATGATCATTTCCAGATATAAATGACTTCCAGTTTTGTAAATGGGATGAAAATGAACATTGTCTCCAGGTTGAAAGATGAATGAGAAACACTATTTTGATGTTTACGCGATGGCATCATCAGTTTCAGCATTTCTCTTTTCATGACAAAAGTCATTTTATCTTAGAGGGAGTAAGACAATTTTAAAAATTCATGTGAGCTCATCTTAAGCATCTCAGTCATTCATGCATAACTAGCTAAGGAGCTGCAACCTTTGATGACAAGCTGCTTGTAACTATTGAAGCAGAACCATGGTTAATTTATAGAATCCCAAATCAATCTAGTTATTCAGGAGAGTGTTGTGTGTGTTCAGCAGGTATTGGGTAAGCTGAATGTTGGTTTGTATAGACCATGGAGGTGACATTACTCAGTCTCGACTCTGAATAAGGTGTTAATTGTCTCGTCAGAGCTTAATATTTCTGGTCTAATTGTGCGTCATCAATAAAACATGGACCAGAGTGGAAATAAACTCTCACCTGGAAAACATGTTGACATGAAAAGATTACAGAGCATATATTTGTACACTATGAAGAAATATAGTACGTTGAAATTCAGGTCTCAGATCACCTGCAGTGATTAAAAGATTAATAATCAAGACCTACAGTTTTAAAACCAGGGACCATGCACACAGCTGATCAGTGTTCTTTGCACCTTTGTAGTTGTGAAGTGAGGGCCACTAAACAGCCACCAAACTTCCAGCCAAATCATGCCAGCATCTCAACAATGAAGTCAGCCTAGTGGCTGAAAGCACGAGCAATGATCTACACTACTGGAGTAGGATGATACACAACCTGCCAAGTTACCCAGGCTTGACCATCTGATCCCCATTTATGTCTTACAGCAAACAAGAGGAACAGGGCCCCGCTCCTCAGACTTTAACATAGACTTATGACTGTCGTAGCGCTACGATCGCTTTGAGGAACGGGACCCAGGTCACTTACTCTCTGCTCGTACAAAGGTAGTCTTAATACGCTTCAGACTGTCATGAACTACACAGTACAGCGTGGTTTAACATAGACTTACGACTGTCGTAGTGCTACGATCGCTTTGAGGAACGGGACCCAGGTCACTTACTCTCTGCTCGTACAAAGGTAGTCTTAATACGCTTCAGACTGTCATGAACTACACAGTACAGCGTGGTTGGTTCTATTAGGATATTTACTGAATGGAAGGATGAGGAATTACAGAGTTATGTTTCTGACATTACTTCATGTAATGTGCATTTTCTAGCAGTTGTCACATTATACTGTATGTTATTTGAGATTAAAGGTGAGGGACGGAAAGGTTGGTCCAGCGTTCACATCCTGGTTGCCAGGCTCCAGGGTCTATCCTCACACTCTGCATCCACTGCAGCTGACAGATGGTCGAAGTGTTACCAACATTTGTCTCTCCTCCCAATGACACCCATTAAATCCCATCAATTTTCTCACCCTCTCACAGCTGATCTGGTCACTCTATCACTGCATGTTATGTCTGCTTCTTAGATAAGATTTGACCCAATCTCCTAATCCTTTATTTACACAATCGGCCATTCTCCAATATTGGCTAATTCAAGTTCAAGTAGCTGTATCATTGCAATTACCCAGTCTGTGAAACAGGCTTCTGTTAATTGTCTTGTCTATTGGGGCTGGACTTGCCTATTGCAGCAGATGCTGGTTTCTTGAGGATTCAGATTTAGGTTCTTTATTCAGTAAAGACTTGGGCTATAT